GATGAACACGAAAATGAGATCAAAAATAAAAATTCAGACAAATGAATTCAGTAGAAGATACAAAAAATAAAATATTTTCAAATTCCAATCAAATTGTATATTACATAGTTTTTAAAAAATACAGACATGAAGCAAAATTATAATATTCGAAATAACATATTTGTTATACATAAAGATTTGTATATTATATGAAGAAAAATATTGCTTTCAGAACTACAAAATACATTTAATTTAAAAAAATAAAATAAAAAAAATAACAAGATATAATAATAAAGTAGGTGGTCTTGAATATTGTCAATTAATCGATCAGTAATATCAGAGACATTAGAGTGATGGAATGTAAATATCTCATAAATTTGTGAGAAATCAACATTTCCAATCACCAAAGAAAAAATTTTGCGTCAGAAAGCTGAATATTGTGCAGAAATTATTTGATATCACATATAAAATCCTACAAGAACAATAATTGAGATTTTACAACTTCATAAGTACTGATTTTCAAAATTTATATTTATTGAAAATTTATTTTGATTAATACTATTTATCGTCAAAGTTCGAAACGTTTTTTTTTTTAACATCTTATATATAATACAAATATCATTTTAACATCTTATAAATAATACTTATTATGACATATTAAGCAATTTATAAAAATTAACAGAATATTAAAAATATTAATTATATAAAAATTAACAGATATTAACATGAATTAAAACGATTCTCTGAATGAAACAATCAAAAAATTAGAGAGGTAGTATGGCTATTAAGAGTCAAGCGCAGACCTTGTAGCGAACAATTTAATTACGGATTATGTTCTTACATAAATATATAATATTATAATATTATATATTATTATATATTTTATGTAAGAACATAATCCGTAATTAAATTGTTCGCTTAATAGCCATACTCTATCTCTCTAATTTTATGTATTATAGTTGTAACATCTAGATTTATAAATTGCTCGCGAAAATAAAATAGTATTTCAAAAAGAAAAAAAGAAGATCACTTATCGTATTTTATTTTCAAACAGCATTGCGGCTTTGTTATAAAACCGTTCTAATGGGAACGATAATTAGCAGCAATATTAGCATAACTATTGTATCGACATTAAAGAGACATTACATTTAAAATAAATTACGTAAACATGTGGGCAAAATTTAATAATTATTAATGTTCCAAGTTTATATATGATTATATCAATGACAAGATCAAGCTTTACTTTTTAGAAATAGATTACATACTTTTATTAATTTTGATATCATTTAAATACTTTTAAATACTTTTAATCTCATTTTTATTTTCTTAAAATATTCTTAGAGTTAATTCTCGTAATCGCAAATCCTTTCCGATATCCGCATGAAGCCATTGTCGTTCATTTATTGGAAAAGTGCCGCAGACCTTTTTCTTCTAAAGTAATAAGGTCGAGCAAGAGATTGCGTCACATAATTTTGCAGAGACGAAAATAAAATTTGAACCAATAATCGATTTATTGGCTACTTCAATTTCTTAAAGATTGAAAAGCTTTTATTTCATCTGAAATTAAAGGAATACTTATGATAATTTTTACCTATATGAACTTTAACTAAAAAACTAATAAAATATATTTGATTTTATGTTACCAAGATAATGATATATAAAGATGAACTTCATGAGAATGATTAAAATAATCAAAATAATTATTTAGACCATTAAAATCATTTATCCGTATTGTTTTTAATATAAAGTGTTCACATCTTGAAAATATATATATAAATATATATATAGAGATATATATATATATATATATATATATATATATATATATATATAA